ATTGTGGTCGGTGGATAGCCAAAATATTTGGACAACCAGTTAAGCTCTGAGGAAGCCAACATGATGATTCGCGAAACGTTAACAGTTTTTGTAAATAATATTTCAGTAGCCTGAAAAAGTTTTTTTGAAAAATGAAGATGACACTTTTTAGATTTTTTGTTCCGTATCTTACTTCCTATTTACTACATTTTAATGTAATTTCTTGAATATCGAATTTACAATTTGACAAAATAATGTTGGAAACAGACCTGTATAAATTCATTCAATACATGTTGTAAAAAAAAGTTTATACATCTTTAATATCGTTTAAGTGAACTATTCTGGGAAAGAATAAGCGATTTTATGATTGAACTGAGGTGGCTTTTACTTGATGAAAATCCATTTAACAAAATAAATAAGAACTAAAAGTTCAGATTTTCACGAAATTATATATATTCACATAACAAACATAACATAACATAACAAATTCATTAATAATGATTATAATTTCGTGAAAATCTGAACTTTTAATTCTTATTTATTTGATTTTATGATTCATTCCTAATACTTCATTGAAAGAAAAAAAGTACTTTTTAACAGGAAACCTCGTTTTAATAATAAATTACGGTAAATTGAACCCATAAATTATTTTACAACAATTATACGGACTTGTCATTTCCCCTAATTTTTCCGGAGACATATCACCATTAAGCATCAAAAACTGTATTGTGGGTACTCAAAAAGTTCATAAGGCAACCAAAACTTTAACAATTAACGTTTGTATTTTCTAACTTATAGCTCCGCTGTATAGAACCTTGTATCAATGTGAAATTAATTTTATGTTTTGTTTGAAAACGATTTTCTGAATTTCTGTTAATTAATTAATGTTAATCTCGTAGCAAGGTCAAATTGTACATTTTTATTAAAACTTCATTAGTGACGCAATTACAACCAAAATATGCAATTGGTAGTGAGTAAAATATCACGGAAGACGTAAAACGCATTGGGCTACCTATATAACGCCTTAACAATCACTGGTCCTTTAGGTACCTCCCATAGTTTAATGGTATCAAGTTTCGGCGGCAGTTTGATTACAAAAACCACCATTTACGATTAAACTGGTTATGCGAGCACGACAACACATTTTTTTAAGAAGAAACACTATTCCGCACAAAAACAAAACCAACCTATATTTCCGTTAAAACACTAAACAAAGGGGTTAAAGTGCGTCCATATTAAAGCGTGGGTAATTTTTTGAACGGACGCACACATATTAATGGTCTGACTCACGATCCCGAACTGTGATTATGGTCTTCGCAGTACGTGAACTATAAGAGCTGCATCAAAAGGGGGATAACATCACCCCGTGGGGTGTGCTAAAAGACTCAACCCCGTTGAATAAAGAGTGCAGAACACATCCGAAGTTAAAATTCGACAATGTCAATGGGTGCGATACCGGTTCAAAAATTCTGTGGGAATATCGCTTTTTTGGCATTCAGAGTTTTGGAATTCGTTAACGGATTTTCAAAAGCAAATTCCCCAAAAAGAATGGGGATTATTTTTTACATGCTTGTCTATATAATCTACGTCGGGATTATTAAATAAAAAGTTGTTTTATGATAGTTAGCAAATCATGTATTTATTTTTTTTTTTATTGGTTCGAGATATGTGTTATTACTTCCATATAATTATTATAAAGTATAATATTCGTAAGATAATATAGAGCTTCCCTCCTGTTGACTATGGTGGTTTAACATATGTGTATAAAAACTTAACGGAAAATTTAAAGATGTACAAATCAAAAGGTGATCAAAAAATACTTAGTCTTAATGCCCCAACATCGATCTACCTATATTAGTTTTGCTATCAGCTTCATAACTCCCTTCCAGTTTCTATAAAAATGTTACCAAAAATTGTTAAGAATTTTAAATTTTACATGTTTCTTATTCATTGTAACTTTATTTTGATGGGCCGATATTGTACGAATTGTTGTTCTGATCTATCAATCTATCAATATTTCCAATTATTTTAAAAATGTTCGAAATGTCGACGATGCTAAATATTTCTCCGTAATTAATACAATTAATAATAAAATTACTAAAATAAATTACTATTATCATCATTATTATTATACCTATCCAATTCAAGAAACACGAATAAAATTCAATAAAATTACGTCAAAATTTTACATATACACTGTAAAATATAATTTGAAGGTCACTTAAAATTATTATTTTTGTTTTAATTTTCTTTTGTACTAGAAGACAACGCAAGCACCATTCTACTTCTGGTGGCATCAAAAGAAACTGTCAATTATTTAACTTTGAATGTAGTAATTAATAATTGGGGGTGATCTGGCGCATCCGCCATATCTGAGAATTCTCCGTTCCTGATAGGAGGCTAATTTATTAAGTTAACTCATGAATTTTATCATTTTTTCATTTATTGAATAAATTGATTAATTTCTTTTTTTTTATTCTGATCACGTTTTTAAGTATCTACAAACACGATCGCGTGGAAATTTACTACCTCAGTTTCTATGTTGTTAGAGAGAGGAATCCTAATGAGACAGGCATAATCGGTATATGTAGTCTCTTCTGTTTTCCTAATCCGAGAAATAAGGACGATCGCGAGGTCTTTATTGTTTAGACTACTCTTGCAAAAAGTGATTGATATTTTTTTAAAACGCTGTCCCGAATGAAAGGATTTTATTGGAAATTTGATTCTTAATTTACGGATTAGGATTCTAATATTCTTACTTTGGATAGTTATACGCCTTGCGATTATGCTCTCCTAACTTCGAATTTGCAGTTACGTCATTTGCGTCGTTAACGGATAATTTATACCCATTCCAAATAAGGATCAAATAATTTGGCTTCTAGCGTTTATGCTTGCCTGGTGTGATATTCGTAGTTACGTCATTTTCGTCGTATTCAGAAACCACGATAACTTACAACGCCGGGGGCTGTGTTGTATATCATTTTTGTAAATGGCATTTCAATAATTTTTAAATATTTTCAAATAGGTGAATAAACATTTACGAAACTGGCCTGACAACAAATCCTTCCGGTCCGATAAAATTGGATAGATTTATTTCCGTCATCATAAAAAAATTTCGCTACCAGAGGGCCATAGTATTATACAAGTTCGATGTATAGCATTTTAGTCATAAGTTTAATTATGGCACGAGCGGAGTGCTTACTTAATAAGCTAGTGATTGAATTTAAATTCAGGTAAAATTGTGGTCCGTAATAGAAAATAATTTTATACCTAGCTGTGCTGAATATTATTTGGTTTGGTATACTACTTAGTTTAAGTTTATTAGTAATCATTCTTATTTCGTGTGTAATACAGCGTGTGTTGAATCGTGTATGTAGAAAACATTATTCTATTGAGACTACGGAAGTTATAAACAATGTTTATTTGACTCTCATTGAACGTGGTGCCAGCAAGCAAGCATCTTTAGAAGAAACGGCCACATTGACGAAAATTCCAAATCAACTGTATGGAAAATTGTGAATAATCCCATTTCAGCGAGGAAAAAAAGAAGTGATGCTGACATTTTCTCGAGTGTAGATGAAAGTGATCAAGATATAATACGGCGTAAAATTTACCAGCTATACGAGGAACAAAGCGTGCCTACATTAGATATCTTAATTAAGAGACTTGAAAAAGCTGAAACCGGTGTTAAATGTGGCAGAACTACCTTATGGAAGTATATTCAACACATGGGTTTTAGATTTAAAAAAATTGACAAAAGGCAAGTTTTAATGGAATCTTTTAGAATTTAGAAAAAATTAGGATTTACAGAGAACAACAAAGGCCAATTATTTACTTGGATGAAACCTCCTTCGACACTTATGATACCCCGGAAAAGGCTTGGGTTGATTCAACTGATAAGTATAAAACAAACATAAACATACATAAATAAATAAATATTGTTTAGTATCTTTCCTAACAAAACCCCAAATAATTAAATTCTAAGCAAAGTACGGACCTGTTCGGCGATATTTCATTCCTACAGCTTACCCGGGTCTTTCCTTAATTCGTTAGTTAGTCACTTTCTTATATCTATGAACAGACTTTACCTCATTTAATCCAACTAATATACACCATTTTAAAATGTTATTATGTCAGGTTGGTATACTTGACTTTTACAATGAATAACTAAGCAGTTTATTGAAAAAAAGGTGATTCAAGACGAGGTTTGATCGAGCCGCCAGATGTTTCTTTGAAGATGAACAAATCTCTAAGATGGTATATGCAAGAAAAGACAAGATCCAATTGTCAATTTTGGTGTTACTGAGAAAAGGATATTTGAAAATGATGCAATAGGTCGTTCTTGACAAAATAGTAATACAAAAAAAATCTGCAGAAACAGCCAAAATTGATACAAATGATATGTACTGCCTAGGGAGTAAAATTTTTCCTAGGCTTATTCTCCTTCATGCTGGTAATAAAGATTTTATAACACTTTTAAGATGTTAGTGAGTTGTTTTGCCTAAATTTGTGTTATTTAGAAATAACTCCTACCAAAATCTCTGAGTGACTATTTGGCTCAAAAATGTGGCTGTAAAATACCTCCACAGCATAACTAATACTATTAGTCACATCGGAAAATACAGGCAAAATGTTCTTCATTGTCTCTACTTATTTTTGAATTGAATTCTATACCGGTAATTAAAAATTGCAATGGGAAACTGTAAATTATAAATCTTAATTTGTTTAACGACGAAGATGTAGTAATGATACATTTCGTGTGTGGCGGTGTATTAGTTTTTGGGTATATAGTTGCAAAAAAGCAGAAATGCATTTACCGAGTGATCATACGAAACAACGTCAAAATTTAAGCAGTCATTAATATCTCTCCCAAACCCGTGACTAAAATCACGGAAAAAGTGACTCGCAACACTAACGAAGCTGACGAGTTAAAATGACATTTTCTGACATTAAAATACTTTAGAGAAAGGGGTAGAAAAACGAAATAGACAAAATAGAAATTTAATAAAAATCTTAAAAAATATATTTTACCTGTTAGTAGTATGATATCAACAATAACAACAAATCTTCATGACATAACAACACTTTTTAAAATTCCAACTTTGGATACAAATATTTAGAGAGGCGCTTAATCTTTTCTACATCCTTTAAGAATTCAAAATATTCAGTAAATTTTCGATGGCATAAACGGAATTCGTAAATGTATTGGGTCGCTCGTAATCTAGACCCCAATTGGCGGTACAAGTTGGCAACACTGGATTTTTCAGGTAACCGAAATACGAGTGGCTACCGAGGTTCTTCTTCTTGGCCGTCATGTTTTGCTTACGCTGCACCAATGCTTCTATCTTCGAAAGCCTGGACTGGATATTCGGCAAATTCATGATGAACTAGGGAAACGCAAAATCAAAAAATAAACAAATTAATTAATTAACCAAAACTAAACTACGGGAAGCTTAAAAGAACATAGGTAGCAACGTTGTCAAAATTGATGTTAAAATTTTTATTAAAACTGTGATTTTTTTCTCTGCCACGGTAGTAAAGGTCATCAAATAACCCAACGTTGCCACGTTTCCTTCAAATAATTCGTGTTAAGTTCGGTAAATATGCTGGAAAAACCTATTGAGGCTCGTACATGGCTATGGACCAAAAAGAAACAATCATACCGTTTACGTGTGTTGTTATAACTTATAACTATTTTGTTTACAAACTGCAGATATTTCAATTAATTAGTAACAGCAATTGGAAACTAATTTAAATGGGAGGCGGTCCTATATTTCCCGCACAAAAGCTTTTACTTTTTCATCAACTGTCAATTTTAATTGTATCCATATGACAATTGTCCTGCGTTTTTGTTATTTACAACTTTGCTGTTTTATTATGTTTGTAATGTGTAAATGGCTAACGACACCATGGCAGACATTGCCGTACTTATCGACGTCACTATTTTTTCCTGGCGAAAGATCTAGTGACACGACAAGTCTATCGACCGGTAACTGCTTAAAATTTAAAATTTTGGAATTAAATAATGGTTGTCAACTTTTTTTCTTATTTGAAATGGTACACACCTTACATGTTTTTTGAATTCCCCGAGAAATTCAAGACATTTGTCTCAGATTACTTAACATTTTATATCAAGGAAGACATTTCCGGATGGAATGATATCCGTAAAATCCTCCCATATGGAATTCTTTAAAATTTCACTCTATTAAGCCGTAGAAAATGATCTGCTGTACAAATTTGGTTAGTGATTTCTATTATCAATAATACAGGATGTTGAAAAATATACCTGGCCTGTCCTGCTCTTAATATCAAATTCTGAGTTCACCATGAAGACCGGTAGGTCTGGCGAGGCGTAGAAAAACAAAAAAGATACTTGTTATCTTCTTGTCGGTTGCCAGATAAAATAATAATATGCACAAAAATTATTATATTATAGAGGATGTCACTAAGTTTTATCCAGAACATGCGATATGTTATAGAAAATTTAAAAAACATTGGATCGTTCATAGTGAAGGTGCAAAAAATTAATTTGTTGTTAACAATAAAAATACTAAAAATAGCTACTCTATACTCTAAACGATATACCGTTTTTACGGCATAATCCAGTATTTATTTATTTATTTGGTAAATTTTTATTAAGCTCTCACTGACGTGCCTGATCCGTACTTCGATACTTTGTGCATACAAATGCTGAAAGCGGATGGATAACGTTTTTATCACGAATTTCTTGCATTTCTCTCAAATATCTTGTCCTCCACTCCGAAATTCTATTCGATAGTTTTGTAATACAAACCAATTCTTCGTACGAACGCACGCAAAGTCCCTTGGCGACAGTCAATATCTGTCAAACACTACGCAACTCTTCATATAAAGTTTTAATTGTTAAAACAATATTCTTCTGATACGCATCATACATCATCACCATCATCTTTTTGGAACCCCATGATATTTCCGAGTTTTTCTCTCTTGGAGACCAATCACATCTATGTCCGAGTCATTGGTCCATTTGAATTTGAATTGATGTTTATGATGTCGGATGTTTATCATCCCACCCAAATCTTTTCTTTGTCGCTGGACATCAAGTGACAAACAAAATTGAATAATGTTAGGATTTGGTAAGAAATAAATTGTAATAAAATTTATATGGAAAATCAATAAAAATGGCACAATGAGTCTTGAAAAACAATTGAATAATAGTAAGTAGTTAATTACTAATTACAAACACAAAACGGAATAGAAATAACACCAAAGCTTAGGCGGTTAAGAAAATACTGGTTTTTAAAACTTCCAGCATAATCAAATTTCACCAACCCCTACAAATCAACCAATAGCAAACTGGGAAAAGATCCATTATAAATCAATTATCTACATAAGTATTGTTTTCTTAGCAAAATATTTTAATTAATTATGTTAAACCCTTAAGTTGGAAATCAGTTTAAGCTTTCTAATGTGTTTTTAATATAGGAGATCAACCTGTCTAATGGCCAAATTCAACTTAAAAAAAAATTATAAAAAGCCCACTGATATGAATTAATATATATAATATATCTTAAATACGACCCTCGCTTGTGGTACTGGAAAGAATGGTCCCTTCCGAAATCAAAACCATAAAAGGTTGTAAAAACGGTATATCGTTGGTGAACTCTAGTACTTTTGTTTTCCATGTTATACTTCTGCGGTTCATTTTAACACTCGAAGGTTGGAATTTTAGGATAATTAGTAACTTTACATATAGTTCTACATCTAATTCCTTTCGGACAAATTAATATGAACAGACGAAGCAAAATTTGAAACAAAAAATGTGTTTTTATTCGACATATTTCCCACTACTGAGAGGGCGAAATTATTAACAACCCTGGCAATTTAATGTTTATTGTGCTGTAAGTAATAATGGTGTCGTAGACATATCTCAATACGAAAAATTTTAGATATTGTTCGGTCGGACATAAAATGTTAAATATCTTAGAAACAATGGAATTTAGTAAAATATGTCTGAGATTTTCGGGGGAATTTAAAAAAGCAAAACTAACCTTCTTCCATTTGCGCTCGTGCGCAAACAACCAAAGCAACGTGCACAGAGTAGTGAACAGCGGCTCATCCTTATCGCAAGAGTGCATCAGAACGTTTACAATTTGATCGATGTACTGGGGCACCCAACTGCTGGGCCTAGTCTTTGGGTATTTGTAGAAGTTGATGAGGATGTACGCCGCCAAATTGCACGCGTTCATTTCGGGCAATGAGCGCGCCGCCGACGATATTATGATGCAAAGCTGGTCGGGCAAGATGAGGCTCATTCTCAGGCACGAATCGCGAGAGTGTCTCGTCACGAAATCTGGCAAATATTTGGCAAGTTTAAGTACCGTGCGACCACCGATATTTTACAGTGTGCGGTAAATTTTCAAAAGCAGCACAAAAGATCCAATGGACGTCCGGTTTTGGTCCATTTTAAAAGTCGGTTCTGTTTACTAATTTGTATATTTTTGGCGGCACTTTTTCTTTTTCACGTGATTTTTTTATAGCGCTCTATATCTTAAAAATGTCATTTTATTAATATACATACCTATGACATGAATATGTTATATGTATGTTATAAGTTAGGCGTGATTTTTAAATGAATTGATCCTCATGGACCAGATGAACCGATATCTACCGCCTCAAAAGAACTAGAAAACGTTGGAGGAATCTAATTCCGACTCAGATTTCACACCATATTTTATTTTAGTTATATTTTAATATTAATATTTTACTTAGGAAGGACCGCTAGTGTATTGCAATATTCCTGACTTAGTTTCAAAATTAGAAAATGTGCGGAAGGCGCCTGTTTATCGACTCAAGTAAGATTGGTGGTTTAAAAGGCTTTTTATTGCACAATGGAAGCAAACTGGCCTCGGTTCCCGTTGCACATTTAAAAGAAACGTATGAAAAGTTAGGACTTTTTTAAGACCATCAAGAACATCAGTGGATGCTTTGTGCATGCTCCTAGGACAACAGGGGGGTTATACAAAATTTCCATGCTTTATTTGTGAGTGGGATAGTCGGCCAAGAGGCTCAAAGAGAATGGCAACACCTGGTAGCAAAAATGCATTACGCTTAGTTGACCCCAAAACAGTTTTACTTAGCTTGATGAAGCAGTTTGTTAAAGCCCTAGACAAAAATGGACAGTGTTTCAATTATCTGTGTGGGAAATTTCCAACTATATCTGATGCCAAGATAAAAGAAGGTATTTTTGTTGGGCCGCAGATAAGAACATTATGCAAAGACAAGGATTTACAGAAGTAATTGGTAAGTTTCATGGGAACTTTAACGACAAGAACTACGAAAGTATTATTCAAAATATGTTACAACACTTTCATCGTCTAGATTGCAATATTAGTTTGAAAGTGCATTTCCTGTTTTCACACTTGAAATATTTTCCTGAAAATCTTGGAGCAATTAGCGAAGAACAGGAAAAGAGGTTTCGCCAGGCAGGCAGATGGAGCATAACGATGATGGCGAATTACTGCTGGATATTAAAACCGGATATGCCCTTAAAAACACACAACCAACCGAATGATTTGACTCAAAAAAACTCTGAATAAAGTTTTTTTTTTTCACTTTTTTCAACTAGGATTCCACTTTTGTTACTGAATAAAAAATAAACTATTTTAGAAATATCGTTTTTTTTATATTCTTTTAATTAAAACATTACGTGACACAAATACATAAAATTTTTGCCGGTAATAGATAGAAAAAAAGATCTTTTTACTAAAGTTGCAACATTAATAAAGATCTACAAATTAAAAATATTTTTAGTTACACTGGGTGAGTCAAAAATAGTTATTATAGTTATAATTATATGACCTTATCATCAAACCTTAAAATCAAACTTTCCTGATATGTACTCAATGTGATATAGATCAAAATAGATTATAACGTTATAGCTGTCCAAATGAAAAAAATTAAAATAGCTTATTTTAAACGGAAATGGAGCACCCTGTATTTTTTTGTTTAAAATCCGTTTTCCTAACAAAGCACTTCATTTCTCATTAAGTATGAAGTCCCATACCTAACCCTCTTACTTTTTGAGATATTTCACAGGGTGGTGAACAGCGGTTTCTCGTTAACATATATGTTATAAAAGACCCTACAATTTCCAAAACACACAATTCCCGAACCCGGGCTTTGCTTTCAGGCATTAAAACCACTCAAAGTATCGACCGCAACAGCAACCAAACGCTTTGCGTTACGTTCCCTCACCTATGTCCTCGAGAGCCTTGATGATTTGTAACAGCGTCGCATGCTCGTTCGTTATACACATCATGGCCGTTTCGCACCGCTCGGCGAGAGTCTTGTTCGCCCCCGGCATCGCAAGCTTCGTCGCCGCCAGCTTCTTCCATCTTCTGATCGCGCCCATCTCCGCGACGTTCGAATTCCTCTGCGCGTATCCCTTCCATGCGGCTTGAATCCTGACAGCCGCGGCGTTCCTGAGCTTCTCCGCCCTCCTCGCCTCGACTGCCTCCGGAGTGAGCAACGGCTCGTACTTTTTTCGCACCAAATACCCACGGCAATACCTCTGTATACTCAACGTCGCGCGCCTCAGCTCGACGTACTTCACCCTCTCGATTTTCATAGTTTTCCACGCCCTGAATCGTCTCTGTATAACTAACGCCGCCCACCTCACGCGGCAGTACCAGTTTTGCTGTTCTTCCATCGCCACCTTTGCCCTGTACCTCCGTTGGACGACGACGGCCGCCCATTTCAACTTCAAAAACTCTTTTCTGTCCTTCGCCGCCCTGAACCTGCTCTGGATGGTTACGACGGAATTTCTCAATGCTGTATAGTACTCCAGGTCATTTTGCATGGCCAAGCGAGCCCTGTACCGCCTCTGTACGACTAAGGTCGCCCACTTCAGGCGGCAGAACAACTTTTCCTGTACCTCCATCGCCACCTTCGCCCTGTACCTCTGTTGGATGACAACGGCTGCCCATTTCAACTTCAAAAATTCCTTTTTAGCCTTCACCGCCCTGAACGTGCTCTGAATGGTTACGACGGCCTTTCTGAACGTTGTATAGTACTCCAGGTCCTTTTGCATGGCCAAGCGAGCCCTGTACCGCCTCTGTATGACTAACGCCGCCCACTTCGCGCGGCAGAACCAGTTTTGCTGAACCTCCATCTCCATCTTCGCCCTGTACCTCCGCTGGATGACGACGGCAGCCCATTTCAACTTCAAAAACTCCTTTCTGGCCTTCGCCGCCCTAAACCTGCTCTGGATGGTTACGACGGCCTTTTTCAATGTTGTATAGTACTCCAGGTCCTTTTGCATGGCCAAGCGAGCTCTGTATCGCCTCTGTATGACTAACGACGCCCACTTCACGCGGCAGAACCACTTTTGCTGAGCCTCCATCTCCATCTTCGCCCTGTACCTAAGTTGGATGACGACGGCCGCCCATTTCAACTTCAAAAACTCCTTTCTGGCCTTCGCCGCCCTAAATCTGCTCTGTATGGTTACGACGGCCTCTCTGAACGTTGTATAGTACTCCAGATCCTTTTGCATGGCCAAGCGAGCCCTGTACCGCCTCTGTACGACTAAGGTCGCCCACTTCAGGCGGCAGAACAAGTTTTGCTGTCTCTCCATCGTCACCTTCGCCCTGTACCTCTGTTGGATGACGACTGCTGCCCATTTCAACTTCCAAAATTCTTTCCTAGCTTTCGACGCTCTGAACCTGGTCTGGATGGTTACTACTGCCTTTCTCAACACTGTATAGTACTCCAGGTCCTTTTGCATGGCCGAGCGAGCTCTGTATCGCCTCTGTATGACTAACGCCGCCCACTTCGCGCGGCAGAACCAGTTTTGCTGAACCTCCATCTCCATCTTCGCCCTGTACCTCCGCTGGATGACGACGGCAGCCCATTTCAACTTCAAAAACTCCTTTCTGGCCTTCGCCGCCCTAAACCTGCTCTGGATGGTTACGACGGCCTTTTTCAATGTTGTATAGTACTCCAGGTCCTTTTGCATGGCCAAGCGAGCTCTGTACCGCCTCTGTATGGCTAACGCCGCCCACTTCACGCGGCAGAACCACTTTTGCTGAACCTCCATCTCCATCTTTGCCCTGTACCTCCGTTGGATGACGACGGCAGCCCATTTCAACTTCAAAAACTCCTTTCTGGCCTTTACCGACCTAAACCTGCTCTGGATGGTTATGACGGCCTTTCTCAAAGTTGTATAGTACTCCAGGTCATTTTGCATGGCCAAACGAGCTCTGTACCCCCTCTGTATGACTAATGCCGCCCGCTTCAAGCGACAAAACCACTTTTGTTGAACCCCCATCTCGACCTTCGCCCTATACCTCTGTTGGGTGACGACTGCTGCCCATTTCAGCTTCAAAAATTCCTTTCTGGCTTTCACCGCCCTGAACCGGCTCTGGATCGTTAGGGCGGCTTTGCGAAATCGCCGATAAGCATCGCGTTCGTTTCTCATCGCCAAGTTCGCCCTGTAGCGATGCTGGATCATTACGACGGCTAGTCTCGTCGTTTGAAACTGGATTCGTAACGTTCTGGTCTGTGTGACGCCTCTGAACCACCTCTGGATAACGACCGCGGACGTCTTCATCGTCAAATACTCGGCTCTTTGTACCCGCATCGACCTCAACGCCGCGTACTTGGTTTCGACAACCGAAACTGACAATTTCAAGGCCAAGTACCTGTTCCTGCAAGTCCTCATCACCAATACGGACCTATACCATCGCTGGATCTTCACGACGCTTTGCTTAAGTTCCACGTAAGAGTTCCGTTGCGTTTTCATTTCGATCAGCGCCCTAAATCGACGCTGCACGGCGGCGGCACTCCCTTTGAGTTTTAAATACGCGCGTCTCTGGGCATCGCCGAGACGCTTTGCTCTCCAGCGCCGCTGCACAGCGATGACCGCCCCTCGCAGGCGTAAGTACGCCAATCTTTGACTGCTCGCCAACTTCGACGCCCTGTAGGTGCGCTGGATAGTGACGCAAGCGTTTCGTAATGTGACGTAGTGTTTCCTCGCCACCCACATGCGGTAGTTCTTTTGAAGTGTGACGGCCGCGTCGATCCTGTGCCGATAGTCGAGACGCGCGAGCCAGCCACGCCCTATCGCTTGCAGTCGGATTACAACGCGGGCAATCACGCTGAAACGCTCGTAGACTCTCGCCCTTTTGAGACGCGTGTACCACCGCTGGATAGTACGCGCGGCTTCTTCCCTGCGCAGCCGGATTCTGCGCAGTCGGGACCTCTTCAACGCTATCGGCAAGCTCCTGAACCACCTTAATCCGCACTAATTAGTATTTGGGGCACTCGTAATTAACATCGGCTTTCGAACTTCGATGGTAGGTTCGACGACAACGGTAGAAATGAATCGGCATCTCATGTTAAGTTTTGAAAGTTGGGCAACTAAACTTCGCATCAAAATTAACGCGCCACTAGGATTAAGGTCAATTTCAAAGTTAATTTTCTGACTGTAACATTTTTATTGAAATTTAAGTTTTAGGTATGTACAGAGTGTTTTAGGAAAAGCTAAGGATATACTCGATGTTTGTCACATTTTGTGGGAATTCCTGTCAAAAGATATTTAATGCCAAAAGAATAAGTTTGGCTCACGATTACAAAACGAGTTTATGCCATACTGGGAACAGTATTACAAAATTATTTAACTAGGTGAACATTGGTAGCTTAGACTGGCCTCCAAACTTTCAATCCTTAACCCAATATGCGATGGAAGCAGAGAGATCCTCAACCCCCCCAGGGAAATATGGACTAATATTGTTGACACAAAGTATGGATCGTCGATGTCAATCGGTTATGAAATGAAATACATATTCGGTTCTTTTAAAAAAACTTATAACTGTTAAATGTTGACATAAAATTCAAAATAACTCACAAACAGTAAGATAAAAATTCAAACACTCTGTATATATACCAATATAATATTTTAAATGAAATCCCAACAATTTTTGTTGTTTCTTTTTTTAATAATTTTTATAGATTCTGACATTAGGTATGATGTAAAATTTTCATTAAGAAGCAGCCTCAGCATATTTCTCCTACCGCTAATCTCGGACCTTCCGTCGAAAGCTGATACCATGTGTCGGTTTCTATTAAATTCATTCTTAATGCGATAAAGTTATAAATCATTATTCAACTGTAAAACTTGGTGGAAATTGTATTTAATAACAGGTAAGAAGGAAAAACAAGGATTTTTATAAATTTTACAGGAAGCATTTATTTGCTGGATCTTATTCTTTCTTTCTCTCTGGGTCTGGTATAACAGCTACTCCAGAAAATAGGAAAAAATACTAACGTCTTGTTGAAAAAAAAAGTTATAAATTCATCAGCTTATTTTAAAGCAATTACAAATATGCTAAGAAGGGAGCTATTTGTAAATTGTAAGTTTGCATAAACAAATCTCTTTGTTGTTGAGCAAGTCGCATTCAAACGAAAATATATCGGTACTTCGCCTTCCGCATACGCAGACGCAGACGGGTCTAAGCAATGCATAACATGATTTTTAAAATGAAGGATATTGAAATTCTCTTACAAAAGGGAATAAAAGCAGTGGATTATGAAAAATGGAGTTCATGAAAAACTTTTTAAAGCAAAGATAATGCTAGAAAACACTATAGAGTCCTTTATTGTATTTCTGGACTCCAACAACTATAATTCACCTGACTACTCAGAACATGATGGCTAAAATGAAGTTGTATTGTAGATCGTAGTTTTCTTGTTATAATAATATTTGACATTGCTTTAAACGAGCATAGATAATTGTGAAATTTTGTGAACTCTTGTGTGAGAGCCGAGAAAAGGGCATATTTGGCAAGTACATTTATATTATAAAATTTTTTAGCGTACTTTGAGCAGAGCATGTGCACGGTAATGTTAATTTAATGTTGCTTTTACTTCTTTTAGAGCTGTTGGTAGTATTGATTCTAACTTTCAGAAATCTTTTAGTATTATTATTATTATTATTATTGCAAATTTATATTTTATTGCTTTCTCGCATTAACAAACCAGGCATAGTATTATTATTATTATTTCAAATTTACATTTTATCACTCTATCGCATTAAGAAACTAGACATAGTCTGCCAGTCTTACCTCTGCACGGTAGTGGCGCTCTTATGCATCAGTGGTGCCTCGTATTTGTAGATGATCTGCCACAAAAACGACAACGTCTTCTCACGGTGACCGTCCACTATATCCTTGGGCGTGATGTCGTGCTGGACGTCGTAACCGCTCTCCTTCAACGCGTCGAATACTACCTGCGTGTTGTGCACCTTCTGCAGGCGCGATATGGCCGGCACGCGCAGCTTGGAGGTGAGATCGTCGCGCAACTGGATAATTTCCATGACGCGAGCGAGGCGCACCCCGTCTCTTAAGTCGCCGCTGAGCGTCTTCACGCCGTATTCGAATTCGTGAATGTACGACTGCACGTGGTGGACGACGTAGCCGAGGGATTTGAGGTATTTGGTGATGTCGCCGACGGCGGAGAGCGTCTCGCGGGCGAAACGGATCAACACCAGGCGGCTCTCCTTGTCCTGCGCGTTCTTCCGAAACAGACACGGATCGTGCTGGATCAGTTTTTGCATTTTGCACGCGTCCAACAGGTAAACGAGCGTCAGGAACTTTTTCAACGCGAACCTTTTCAAGTCGCGCGCGTACTTGGGCGAGTAGACGGTTTTGTGTTTCTTCACAAGTTGCGGGTTCCTGAAGAAGCGCTCCATCAGGAACCGCAGCAGGCCGGCGGTGTCGCTGTTGGACCGCAGCGGCAGCACCTCGTCGTAGATGGTTTCGAGACCGAGCCTCAGCCATAGCGGGTTGTAGCTGAGGATAAGGGCGGTCACGTCCGCCTTGAGTCTCAGGTTTAGGTGGATGTCCTTGTCGTCGCGTATGGAGAGCTTGTCCGAGTCAACGGCCAAGCAGACTTTGTATAGGGCGGAACACACGCGTTCCGATTTGAACACAGCCCGGGCTTGCTTACGGAGGGCGTCGAGTTTACTGTTCGAGTGGTGCGCACTGAGGGAGAGCGATTCCCTGCTTGGCGCGTCGGCGATCTTGGGGTTTTTAAAGAAGAAAAAAGGCCAATTTATTTATTAGTTGTCACTATCAGCTATCAGCTAAATAGAGTTATGTGGAGCCAACATTAAATACAATACAATAAAATAAAATAGGTCAATAGTCATTCTCAAGTATTTTCTAAGCTTCTTTACATAACTCTGAAAACCTTTAAAAATTTGCAAGTCTTTATATTCTTCGGCAAATTTCGATCTGCAACCAAGCATCTCGCAGCTTTGCGTCAAAATTCGAAAATACAGGGTGCGGCAAAATGATAGGTACAATTTGGGATGTTAATAAAAACCAAACTACATAAAGCAAACATTTTTTTTTAAATTATTTTTGAAATGTATGGAAATTTTGCGTATTTACGGTACCCGCGAGGTGAAAGGGAGCTTCATCGCTAGACATGAATACAGCGCCTCTGGGAATGTTTTGAAGAATATCCCGGCATAAATTTGTAAGGATACATTTGGAGTGAGTTGTGTAAAATTCTTCGAACACTTCTATCGGGAATTCCCAAAGCAGCTGCATGCTTACGAGCTGAACGCCTTGGAGACTGTTGTACAGAAATTCTTACTGCATTTACATTTTCCGGTGCCAACATGCCGACCAACATCAAACTGATTACGAAAGGCGCGCTGCGTCGCTCTTACAGATTGTCGATTTCTAATAAACTCCTCGATAACGAAACCACGATGCACTCTGCTCCAAGCCATGTCGATAATTGAAAATTGCATACTTTTGTCTGCCTAGCGCTAGTGCATACACAGTGTTGCCGGTTTTACAAACCGAACAACTATTTGAAATCTTGCCTACCTTTTTGCCGCACCCTGTAAATCAGAATCAGCTGTTAGATTTTCATAACTATTTAATTGTCCTAAGACATAACTTTGAGCGTTTACTTTTAATATTAGGTATTCACAGTGTGCTTTCAATTCAATTATTTATTTATTTATACTTTTTAATGCCTGATGAACTAGCATAAGCGCGCTTTAGACTAGTTTAGGTAAAGAGAGTGATTACAGAACCGACTATTAATTTCTATAATTAAGTTATTACAATCACTTTCTAAAACTAAATCAGAGTTATCTGAAATTAATGTCGTAACATATTTTGAAGAGAAAGGCATTGTTGTCCGTTATTCAAAAACCAACAAAACCATATTTTTTTATAATATTTAAAAATTCACTATGAACGGCTTGTGTTGTTACTGGACAATTGACCACTTCTTAATTGACCGGTCACTTGAGCACTTTTTAATTGACTAGTCAAAAAATCTTGACTGTTTATCATAATTTAATAATGTATTTTATAATAAATTAGTTTGCGTTTGTGATGGCCAATTTACCTATAACCGTCTTCAAGGAATATCCGAATACGATACTTAGTGGTTGGGAAAATCCCAACAATAATAACCACTCCATTTAGTTCCCAGAAAGACGCGACGGCGACAAAACGCACAATATAAATAAATATAAATTTCATGGTATTTTAAAAATTATTCAATATAAAGAGATGCTTTTTTTTTGGTTATTTCATTCATTTTTTTATATGTATTTCCCCAGTCTTTTTCTGTCAACGCACTTTCTTTTTTTTTCTTCAGTCAACAGTTTTTGAGGGGATCTTCTGAAAACTCAGCAAGGCGTACAACTGTGTCGTTCATAGGGTTGTGGAATTGACCGGTCAATTTTTTTTTGTGTCAATTGATTGTCACTGTTTAGAAAACTACTTAAGTAAGAAGAATAAAAAAATAGAGCGATAACAGAAGACTAGGGAAATACATAAAAGGAAAAAAATGAAATAAACAAGAAAAAAAGCATATCTTTATCCGGGCTTCCCTACCTTGTATATCTTATGCATTGCAAAGATTTATCTAAAAAAAAACAAAATAAATTTAATGCAAAAGTTTCTAGAAACATCCAAATGGAGTGCGACAGTATGCATTCCGCAATAAATCTCCGTAATCAGCAGATTTATACATGTACAGGTCCCCCTAATCGCGAGCAAACCAACAAGACGACATCCCTTTTTATTTTTATTCATCCAGAAGTGAGAGCCGGAGATGCAACTTTTATGCCCTTAAGTACCCTAATAAAGTTTTAGTTTTAAAACAAACTTTAGTGAACACTGGATCACACTCACAAAAAGATGTAATAAATAAGTTATTAGCACCGAAGAAATATCACAAATTTATAAGGCCTGTTACCTATAAAAATGTCGAAATGCCGCATGATTTTTATTTTTATGAGACTAGTTAGTATCAATATTATTTTTTTAGAGTTTTCCACCACTTCAAATATATGACACACAAAGATTGGCAAATGCCAGACAAGTAAAACAGGCATGGGAAACAAAAAGACAAAACATAAAGAAACCTGCATGACCAATTCAAACATCCGCCGCCCTATGTTTGTGACATTTTGCAATGAAGAGGTAAAAATTTGAGTGAATCAAGGACTATGCCAGACGACTATGAAAATTAAACGAAAAGTTATAAGGCTACACCATTATTAATTTTTTTCATAAACTTTCTCCCGTCCCTTACCGATTCCGCCTTTTTGCAATCCTGCCAAATTTTCGCGACGTCTATCTCGTCGGTCTGCGCTAGCAACTCTTCGGGTGGCGTGAGCAGCACGTTGAGCCACTTTCTGAAATTCTCCTGCTGCCGCTCCAGCCACTCATCAGTGCAGTACACGTGTGCGGTCATAAACGGGTCCAGGATGTGCGCGTACAGGAACGGATTATGGACCATAACGGAACTTATTTTAGTTTCCGAAACGACCGTGAGGGGCGCGGAGGTCGAGCCGTCCGCGTTGAACCTTTTCAGGTTAAGGCCGCCGCTCTTTCTGGCGGTCCTGCAGGCCGCCTGCTGCTGCCTTGACCATTCCTGGACGGGCCTGGGGACGAGGCACAGAGGATATTATTGATCATTTTAGGTCACAAACAAATCTTGTGAACCCAGGACGAAAACAAAAATTTGAATTTCAATAGGTAAGGTAGCAACAGTTTTCCAAGCTGAGATCACCGCAATATAAAATTGTGCAAGAGAAATAAAAATGAAAAAGTTGCGTAATAAGAAAATTGCAATATATACCGATAGTCAAGCGGCAATAAAAGCTATGCAAGCCATAAGGAATTAAACCAGGTAGCAAGTTAGAACAAAGGAACGCTGTTATGGGTGCGAAGGTTAAAAGGTAACAAAAGCTCCGACAATAATAATCCTTCTGTGTGGTAAGCCCGTTCAAGCCATCACACAATGGATGGAAAGTGAATCCCGGCAGTGATGGAGAGACATACCAGGACAAAGAGAGGCTCAGGAATTCGTCAGAGGCTGATCAGCCAAATTTACAGAAGATCTGCTAAACCACGAAAGAAAGGCGGTAAGAATAATGGTATTGATATGGGCCACTGCCGGTTTAAGAGACATCTAAGCCTAATGGGAATGAGGGTCACAATAGATCCTCTGGGTGGCAGTGACGGACACTGACTCACAATTGGAATGTCAATCTAGGCTTGCATAAATAGCTTAATATTAAAAATAAACCCAAACTCGTAATTAGCGAGTAATTAGAGGCGAATTCATACAGAAAACATGAAGAGACGACAGAGACAATAAGAATTAGATAATTGTAAGAGCAGAAGCAAAACTTTTAAGGTAACAACAATATACTGAATAACTTTTTGATAATGAAAGGTCCCTTTTGCCGTCAGCAATAGCCCTAAGCTCTGAAGAAGCTAACAATATGATTTGGCGAAACGTCAGCAAGATGGAAGACTTATCAAATATATGGAAGTTGGTTGCTGAAACCCCTTTATTTTTTATTTCATTAGTTTTTATTTATTTATATTTTATTTTATTGAATTAGTTGTCCGCACAGTTGCTATGTACATAGTCCGTTCTTAGAATTGAAGTGGCAGCTCTGCTCATAGTGTCAGGATGGGTACAAACAGTTTCTGCGGCATTCATAAATCTACATCAAGAGGAACATAATCCCTTAGATTTCTTTTTATGGGGAAGACTGAAAACTTTAGTTTATGCAGAAAGCATTGAAAACAGAGAACAATTGGTAGCTAGAATTATGTGCTAGATTTGTGCTGACCCTGAGACTGTTAAGCGACCTACCACTTCAATTCTAAGAAGAGCTAGACAGCAACTGTCACATTTTGAACAACTAATTCAATAAATATTTAAATTAAATTTGAAATGCTCGTACCTCAATTACAATAGTGTTCCGGGTATAAGTTCATTTGACGTTTTTAACTTGAAATTACCCCAACAACACACTCCCAAGCTAAAGCAGTCATGTCGTGGGACACGCCGTACAATAGATTCTTTAGTTCATGTCTCGAAAACCCAAGTAGTGGTCTTTTCGAAAACACCGGTAAATGTGGAATTACATGTCCAAGTTCAAACAACGGAAGGAGTGAAATCTATTAAATATTGCCTGCGCGATTCGAAAGAAGAAGTTCTATTGAGAATTGAAAAAACGACGAAAACTTTCATGAGTATAAAACATTGTTTAAAAAACGGTTCCCACCATAGAGCTTAGAATTTGGATGGTAAGGTTACTTATTCTCTGCCTTGCTCTATAGAAAGTTGCACCTTCGAACCTCTTAGAATCTTACAATTTTTACCTTTACAGACGACTGCTACCAATTTGATGTTTGCAACGGATCACTAATAACGAGGTACTTCAACGCATACATAAATCAAAAAGGTTATGGAACACCACTAAGGAAAGAAAAATGTTATATTTAGATCATGCGGTGGGTGAGAGATACTCATAATAGAAGGGAAAAAAATCAGTAGGAAGACGAAAAAATTCATGGTTAAAAGATTTAAGAATATGGTGTCACCGCCTGTCTACCAAAATTTTTCATGGTGCGGTTTCCTAAGCAATTTGGATCGCCAAACTTCGTGAGAAGGAGAAGAATTCTTGACAAAGAAAAATTACCTCTGAGCGACGTGAGGTCGTTTCGGACACACTGCGTGGTAAAAGCGCGGACTTTTCCGTTTCGCCCCGCCGCCGTGGCAACCCGTAGGCTGCTCTTCTGCGATCGACGAGAGCTGCTGCTTGCGGAACTCGGTTACGCCCACATCCGCGAAATCGAAAGCACGAGATCTGAGTAACGTGGGCGGGCTCGGCTCACGTCTGCTCGTCACCGGGGACTTATCGAACGAGCTGTCGTCCTTCACGTATGTTCCGCCGCTGACGTCGCACTTGGTGTAGGTGTTGCTGCTGCCGCCGCTAAAATTTAGGTAAAAACCGAGCCGCTCCGCTTCCGCCGAGGCTTCGCGCGACGACGGTTTGCTGGTGGACGACGTCACCGATGGCTGGAAGTTCGCTGGCGAGAACGTAAATGACTCCTCGACATGAAGCTTGTACTCGAAACCGGGCGAGTACTTTTTCAGGTCGAAGGTGTTCCCCAACTCCCTAAGGGGCGGCGGACCCGGCGATTCCAAGCTATCGTCGAAGTTGGGGGAAGCATTGACCGTGTACATGTACCTGGCGTCGATGGGGGCGTGGTTCACAACGTAGGTCGCACGTCTCGGGTCGATTTTCGTCCCGTCCATGCCAAACGTCAAATTCGTGGGGGAGACGAAGTACGAACTGTTGTTGGTGGCTGGCGACAAGTTTTCTTTGTTCGCCGTGAGGCAGGGCACATTTGAACTAAAGCGGAAAAAATATCAACATATTTCGTAATTTTTCAAAGAAACTTCCACAGGCTACTGTAATACCGTTTACAGAAACTGCGAAACTGTTTCAGTTAAGCTGTGAAGAAGCGAGGCGCAGGATGCAGGAGGTATCCAGAAGATTTGTAAATAGTAACACATTTCGTGTTTGAAGAGTATATCAAGCATATATTATCAGCAAAATAACGGTTCCTTTAAAAATAATAATAATCGATACGAAGAAATTATTACTTTTTGGAACACCACACCCTAAAGCTGGTGCTCGTATTATTTCACAACACGCTATTGATTTTTCGAGATTTATATATTTTCTAGACTAGATATACGGCATCTTATCACTTTCCATGTTTTTTTTTATTCTGAAATGTCTTCATTAATTGATTGAATATGATGAACATTTAGATTTTTAGTTACATTGTGTTAAAAACTTTTACTTTGTATCTACAATTAACGGCAATTAAAAAACTATATTAATATAGATTCAGTCGCCCATTGACCATTTTACCAAAAAGTCAAAAACTATTTTTGTCAATATCTGATATTACGCATGGGAAAATAAAATGCCAAATTTTATAAGCTAAATAGAACGTTTTGAAATAAGGAATAGTTTTCACTCTTCAAAATTGATTTAAATACAAATATCTCAACCTTTGCACCGTTCGGTATATTGCGATAAAATTTAGGGATTACCCTGTTTTTTTTTTTGACTGAAAATGACATAGGATTATTTTTTTATGGAATCGCAGGTCAAGGTCTTTATCCCTAAGTCAAATCTTTATTTCAATTAATTCATATTCAATAATGTTTTAGCGAGACTATTATTACTATTATTAGCATTAATTTATTTCTTGGTTCTTTTATAATTCTGTTAGATGACAAAACTAAGTAAAACTAATTACTAATTTGACACCGTAATTAGAAAGCCTACATGAATAAAATGACAAAAGCAGAAACAAAAAGCAAATGTTTATCTTATAGACGCTGAACCTTGGACCTCTTGATAAAAGAACTTTCGGTTAGAGAATACCTCAGTAACATTATGGAGGATTGCAGCAGTTAACTTTAATGTACACTCTCGCACCTTTAGAAGTAATGATTTATTTTTCGCGCCTTTTTCTCAACCCAATCTTGGTTTGCACGCATCTGTTTTGTCGAATTTCTGCAACATATACATCGCGAGATATGCTAATAATTTGTTTAGTAATTTTTAAAAAATCATCAAAGCAAATTGCTAAATAGAATAATTGGTATGTTGATTGTTAAATAGACTTATATAATTCATATAAATATGTAACTACATTTATTTACTGTGTAGTTAAACTCATTGTGCCTGTTCATCTCCCTAAATAAATAAATGATAGAGTTCTTTCAACGATATACCGTCTTTACAACCTTTTATGTATGAATGAATTTAAGACCTGCCTGTTGTAAAGCGTGTACCGCAAGCCAGAGCCGCATTTAAGATTTTAGCCGACAAGAACGGTGCCGTATTTTAAGAGAAGGGAAATTTTCTTTGATTAAACTGTTATATTAATTCATATTAGTGTCCTAAAACACTTGAGGTAGCTCGAGTTCAAGTTGAATTTGTCCATTAGTGTTGTCATGATGGGCAACGCCAGCTACCATTCTGCACAAACGGAAAAATACCTAATTGATCATCGACTAAAGAAGAAGACATTTTTTGCTTGAAAATGATGTGTATTTTAAAAATTCCTACGGCAAGAAGCAGTTATTGGAAATTCTCACGACGAGAACGTCTGATAAGAAGTAGCATATCACAGCAATTTTAATCAGCGTGCTAGTAATTCCAACCGACAACGGCGTTTAGACTCAAATCAGGATAACACTTCGCCAGACAGAATATTCTGAACATTTGGTTCTATAGTTCTTCCCTAGAATATTTTCAGGGCTGTCGCTTTATGAACTTCTGGTTAAAAAGGATAAATATACTGAAAAATCAAGCCAGGAAGGTGTCATATCCTTTGCTCTAGGTTTGAACCTTTTTTTTTAACTTTACAGCCATTCAGTTATTAAAAAAATACAAAATATCTGTTTTCTCCAATCCGGCTTTATATATACATTTTTGTGACGGATTAAACCTGGAATCGCTGTTAATATAATACAAAATGTCAATGACGCTGATGCTTTTCGATAAAGACCGGCCACATTGGTTCACTTAAAACATTCTAAATCCACTAAACAAGCTCAAAAACCAAATTTTCATCTATGTCCTGTTTTCCACAATATGTATATCATATTATGTGCACGTCATACAGAGACAACGTAAGTTACCTAATATTTTTCGCATCACAGCCTTTTTGTCCCAGTGTGTGGCGTCCACGTCCGTCATCAAGCAGCGGACTGGAAGGGCGGTGCGGCTTCGGCGGAGAGTAGCGGCGCGGAGACGACGGTTTGAGTTTTTTCGCGATCGATATAGGTTTACGAACCAACGGCACGGTACTGGCGGCCGACTTCCTTTTTTCGGCGACCCTTGCTTTCTGGAAGTTTAAAGAGAGGTTGAAATTTTTAATGAAGATGGAGGTCAATGAGGTCTATCCGCAGATACCATAAAGTTCTTCCCAGCCTCCTACATTTAATTGTAATTAATAATTTTTAAAAATTTGCAGCCTCCCACAAAAACCGTTACCGACGGCAAACGGGATAACTTGTGTGGAACTCTTTGGTACCGTTGGATAAAGGAAGGATTAAAATATATAACAAAATTATAAATAAGTGAGATATAAAACTTTCAAAATTGACCATTGATTTATGAGCCGGTTTCTCTATTAAATACGAGATTTTAAGGTTATTTCTCAACCGATGTTGCTCCGAGAAGATTGCAATTTTTATTGGACATAGAAGACATTTTCGATTAATATTCTCGATTCATAATTTTCATGATGTCATGATTTTCTTCAAAAATTAAGATTTTTAATTTTTTAAAATACCTACGTCGTTCCGAGGAGGTTTAAATTTTTATTGAGGATGAAGGTCAATGAGATCTATCCGCAAGAGCAACATCTTAGGATAAAATCCATTTTAGTCGTATTTAAAGTGTAATTTGCAAGCCGGAGATTTGTAGAAGGCGAAGCATTATTGAAAGCAAAACAGGGGGTAATATATATAATATATGTAATCAATTCTTCTATCGAAAACCCATACAAATCTATAAGCAAACAAAAAAACTTAACCGCAAATCAGGTCATCCAAGACAATGGTCAAGCCCCTTCTTTAGCTCCACCCCTCAAACAATATACAGCAGGTACAGCAAGTTTGATTTATAAACAAACAACGCAGGAGAAATCCAGAACGTTTGTAAATTGTATTGCAGTAGCCCATGAAAGATGCTTTGAAAAATTAAAGCAGCTTCTCCTTTAATCTTGAACTTTCCATAAAGGCACTGAATTGTGAACTGATTTTTTAAACAATATCAACATAAATACAACACAAACTTGAATCTCATATGAAAACAATGCAATCATTCCCAATTTTACTTGTAGTCAGAAACATTTTGTTCAGGCAGAGACCTTGAGACAAATGAGATCTTGACGCTGGCTATATCACTTTGCAATTGAGGACCAGAGATGGCAGCACTATGAACCAAAGTCTCCTCGACTTATTCAACTCGTTTTTGAAAGGCTCATTTTGAGTTTGTGGTTTCATTTGGAGAAATTGAGTTAAAGTATATAACTTTCAGTATTTCCTGTGTTATTTATGAAGTGTAATAATATTTTCGTTAAAAGTAAGTTAAATAAAACGTGCTTTGCAACCGAATGACGAAATCGGACCAGCAGAGGCTATCGTTTTCCAAAACACGCTATAAACTTATTTAAATTATGGGTAGAGTTAAACCCATTTGTCAAAAAGTTTTGACAGTCGAAGTAATTTACAGAAAATACGTCGTTTATGATGCTAATTTCTTTGCATGCAAGAGAGGAAATGCTTTAAACCAACACTAGTTCCTTGTTTGCTTATTCCAAGTGAGTTTTTACATTATGTGAGTGTTATAATATATTACTAAAGAGATGAAATTATTTCAGGTATATTTGGTATCATATCATAAACATAACTTAAACATTTTTCAGGTTTTCAGCTATCAGAGTCCAAAGTTTCCCTAGAACCTGTGAAGGGAATGAAGTTTAACGTTCTATCTCCTTATGTACAATAATAGTTTTTTTAATGATTATTTTTTTATACCATCCATGTAGTATTTTTTAAGTCATCATTTGGGAAAAGTTATATTTTACATTGTGTTTCTAGGAAAATATTGTGTGCTCATTGTAGAATTCAAAAAATCATTTTGTTTATTTATTGCAATGAAACAAAAAACATTTCTGGTTTCTACATGTAAGTCAAATAATTTGTTTTTAAATATCAGTCAAAGTTACCTTTGGAGCTGTGGATTTCAAAATTACAGCTACATCACGGTGAATTTTTTTACCATCGGACAATGTAAACATCTGACGGCACCTCACTTCCATTCCTGGACACCAAACCATTTCCAGTAGTTTTTGCTCCCCGGCTTTTACTTCTGCTTGCACCCAGTCAAAGTTTAAATGTAAATCTTCCTCCATTTTTTGTATAACAGTCAACTGAAGAAAAAAACGATATTTCTACTGAAGCATACTTTTTTTCGAGAATATAATAACTAAAAAAATAACTATAGTCTTCCAGATAAAACAAAACTTCAAAACCTTAAATAATGCTAACAAAATCCTTGATATTCTATTTTAATTGCACTTACGTAGATATTATTGGCTGTAGGATTTAAAATCAATAATTTTCTGCTATGAACAGTACCGACGGTAACATTTTCGAAGACAATTTTCGGATTTGCCGTAAAAGGAGCCAACGATAACGTCTCAATTTGAGCTTCATCTTCAACTTTTTTCTGCAGCAATTTCACCTTGGGTTTTTTATATACCGGAGAAATCTGAAAAACGCAATTAGATTCCTCCATCCAAGTAGTTTAAAATAGCAATTACCTGAAAAAACATATTTAAAAATAATGTGGTGTTATAAACAATATATTATACGAATGCACACACATTTAAAAAACTGACTTTAAAATATGGATCCGTTAAATACAATACACGGAGTATTTTTAAATGTCAAATGTGTGGCCGTTAACATTTAAATGAAACCAGAGAACAAAACTAGCAAATTTTAGATAACCAGGCACATTCGCTAGAACTACACGCCCATCACCGGTAAATTATTTTTTTTTAATTTTAATAAAATACAATACAAAAACTGTCTTGGTTATGCACCAATAAATTTAATCTAGCTTGTATTCTTGTATTCGTAGTTCACGATTATGTGTAATTGTCTTTGGGCACCTTAAATAAAATTGGTCTAAATCCTGATTAAACCCTGGATCATATAAATTAATGTTAGTTTGTGTCCTGGTTTCATTCATTTTTTTCCCAAATATGATATTATATTAAATCTCTCGAATTACACCATCTATAATATAAATGATAAGGAATTAATTTAATAAATAATTTGTATCTCCAATTTCTATGGCTGTACTGTGGTGGGTTTATTAATATTTAATACAAACACGATAAAGGAGAAAGGTAAATTGTAGAATTAATTATTATTTAGCATTTTTTTTGTTATAATGTTTCATTTTTTCTATTAATTATTTAGCAGCTATTATATTTGAACTTGCGTCTATTTTGAGGATGGCGTTAAAAGTTGCATTAAACAAATTGAACCTATACTACAGGGGCACAGAATGGGGCAACCACATTGATTGGAAATGATGCGACTAATAATCTGTGGAAGCAGCTCCATCTTTTTCAGGAATTATAGTGAAATCTATATGTGTATGAATTAACATTTAACTTATCCCAGAACACATTTATGATAATACAAAATGCAACTATATGGCACTTTTATTTTGGTTATTGCACGCCTAAATGGAAATTCCTAAAGGTAGGTTTGTTGGAGGGTTAAAAATACAATGAATGCAGCTTTATATATCATTTTAAAAAATATGCCGATAATTTTGTTTATTTAAAAATCTATAAAGTGTCTACTTCTGTGTTTAGATATTTTATCCAATATCAGGATAAAACCTATTTCTTCAGCACCTTCTATTGCTAATCTAACAAAAAATCCAATGAGCATACTTTTTTATTTTATTGGTTTTAAAATGTTTTTAAATCCAAAAATGTTTCTCAAATTATTGAAACTCTCGCTGTTATATGAAATGTATTAAATTACACTAGCTAAAATATAAAATGTTCAGGGAGTATTTTAATGAAAAATTGTACTAAATTTGAAATTAATATATTTTGGGTGCAATTTATGGAGACGAACGCTTTGCACTAAATTGACCTTAAATGTTACATATAGATTATATACAGAAAAATATATTTACAAAAAAGTAAATACATAACAAAAAATACTCGATACCTCGAGTCTGGAAAAAAATTAACATAGTCAATAAGAACTTAAAACGGATTTAACAATAAATAAATCCCTGAAGGAACGATAATGTTAAACTAAAGAACTATACAATATAACATGTACATTGAAGTATTACTGGTGCGGAACTTAGTTTCTATAAAAGACATCTTTTTAATGGATTTATCTGCTATGAATTCATAAAGGGCTGGCTGCCATTTATTACTTTATCTGGTTTTATATTTTCTTTAAACTAACACCTCACTACAAAATTAAAAAATAAAGAGCCCTTATTGTTGGGGAATAATATTTCTGTAATACACTCCCTAAAATTTGGAGACTGCTTTAAAATTTATTGAAAGTATATTGATGATGTTACCTAAATGTAAGCTCCCATTTTTTTCTGAAGAAAAAAAAGACACATCTGAAACAATAGGAACTTCCTTGATTACATTACTACCTCTTCAAATTTAGAATCAACATTTTAAAAAATCACAGTTGTGAAAACTAACAGCAGCCCTTTTACAATAAAATTATCAAATATAATGCAAACTTAAACGGGTGGTTTTCATGAAGTTCACAAAAAAATCAAATTTAAAAATGTCTTCATTTTATTTTAAGCTTTACAATTAAAAAAATCGTTATCACAAGTTCACTTGCGATATGAACGCCTGTTAAGTAAAAAATATTAACGAACTTGGGGAGCACCAATATTTTTTTTAATAAAAAAAAAGTATTTTACTATGCCAAATATCTTCTGACGCAGGTACTCCCGCTTTTACACAAATGGAACAGATTTTGAAAATACACGACCTACTTACACGACAATTACTAAAATTATTTTTGATTTCTGGAATTTTTCGCGAAATCACCCCCCCAAGCGCAATGAAACGTTAAAATATCAGTTCAATTCTTAATAGTAACTAAATTACTCTCGTTCTTCATATTTTTGATTTCATCCTTTTTGTTTAACTGCTTCCAAGTGTCCCCTAACGCTTTGGCAAAATGATCGTCCACGGATATAGTGGTGTCCTCCATCAGCTCTATTACGCTCACTTTTGGCGCAGCCTTCGTCGGAGGATCCTTATCTTTGACGGAATTATTATTGTGATACAACATGTGGTAATTATCACCAAGAGATCGTCGAAAGTGTTCCTCAATCACCGGATCGCACATCGATATGCCTAAAATAAGATATTTTTTATTTTTGTTATGTAAATAAATTTAACTCGAAATTTAAAGCACGCTGTAGATTCAAGTCAAAATCATTTATAGCAGATATCATTTCGTTAAAGGAATATTATCACAAACTTTTTTAATTATTAAATCGAACATGAAAAATAAAAGTGTAAGTATAAACAATACATTAAATTGATAGCACTTCCATATAACACCAGTTCAGTTCCTGCTTCCTGCTTTTAAAAATTTAAAAATCTTGGCCTTAGCCTATACCTAGCTATATATAAATGATTTTATGATACCACTCAAGAGGCAAGGAATTGTGAACAAAAATCCTGTGGTTGTCGTCTTGGGTATATCTAACATCAACTTAAAAGAAGTAAATAATTTCCTTTTACCATAGTGTAGCTCAATTATTTGGCTAATTATATTCACGGATGTCATATAGTTTGTAATAATACAAATTGTAATGATTGTTTTTATGTAATGATTTCATTACATAAGGATTTTATTTTATATTTAGCGAGGGATCCTATACAATCCAGAAATAAAGAAATTCTTATTTGATTTTATTATTAAACTACTCAGGGCTATATCCCTTCCCTTGGTTAATATAATAAAAAGGGTTCTAAAATTTTATTTTACGACCTTCTTATTATGAATCACACAATAAATTGTAAACGCATGATAGCAGAAATATAAAAACAAGAGATATTTGCCGGCGTGTAAACCGTCACGATAAAGAAATGCGATTACACTGATTGTTGTCCATTAGGAAATTTGCGAATAAAACCCACCTGACGGTAACTCCTCTCTGCCATTCGGCACCCCGTTGGGAATGACAGTCGGACGATAACTGGACCTATATGAAGGGTTGCTTATCGTTTGGGCGTAAGACGGCGGCAGGCCCCTGTGTCTCACGCTCATATCCAACGGAGTGTCGCTGCCGTTACTGCTTTGATCACTTTTTATCTGAGTTCCTGCAAAATATTTCAATAGTGAGTGGAATAACGAAGAATCTTACAAACACCTTGGACATTTTTATACCCTTTAGAACAATAAAAAAGTATTTCCGAAAAAGTGAGACATTTTTGGAAATTATTTTATTGTTTTATTTTCTTGCTTCAAATTTGAATTTTTAAAATTACACATTAAATCGGGTTTAACGGAGAACAAACATTTTCCTCCAATCTAGTGAATTTTTTACAACTCGAGCTATTGGCGATTTTACAAGTCAATGAGACCTCTGCCGGAAATGTTAATGTAATTTGGGCGTAAACTTTGGAAAGGTTGATTTTTTCCTAGGACTTGTATGGTTTAGTTAATATTTGAACAATTGGCGTTATAGGATAAAATTGGTAGGGGATATTTCGAAGGGTCTTAGAAAGTTGAACCCCCTAGCTTCCGTCGAAGATACGGGTTGTTAGAATTAAGATTTTTTTTTATTGTGATCAGGAAATGTACATGTTTTTCTTTACACTACCTGAAAGTACAAGGTTGATATTTGTTTTTCACAGTAGGAAAGTAGAGTAGAAAATCAATTATATTTTATTATATTTATATTCCGATATAGAAACAAAAGCAATTTTCTATGAAAGTTTCTCTTAATGACGGTTTATCACTTACATTTAATATTTTCGCATTTTAGGAGACTTTTTTAAGTCCCTTCGAAATCCACTTAAAGCATACCAAATAATCTTAAAATTCATTAGGAAAAAATCATCCATTAACTCTAAAAACAGCTAAGGGGTTTCACATTCAAACAAAGCTTTTTAAGACTTTTCGCAATATTTCCCCCAAATTTTATAGTGTAATATTAATTTTTACATACATTTACATAAATTAGGGCAAAAAATGTTGTGATATTCACAGTTATTTATTGGTGTATTATAGCTGTTTATTTTTATAAAATTCGTGTTTAAGTTCTCTTAATTCGTTTATGATACCTTTGACGCCAGCTAGTGGGTTTCCTTTGTGAGGCGTAGTTTTTGATAGTCTCCTGTGTGACCGAAATTTTGTTTTAATATCATTTCTTGCAGTTTTTAGTTTTTATATTATATTAATACAAACGCCCAATGTCCTTAATTCGTCGCTAATTTTACACACGCCTTTTAGTTTTGCTAGTTTGCAGACTCAATGCAAAAATATCTTTTGAGTTATAGGTCTCTCTGTAGATCCAATTAAAATTATGGTTTGCTTTTTGCAAAAGAGCAGCTTTTCCTGTGCTACCAACCCTCGCAATTTTTGAGGTTATGTGTTATATGCAAATTCAGCTTAATTTGTAAGGGAGAATAGAGAGCATAATTCATGTAGAATAATGGCATTATCAAATCCAGAACTAATAAAATTTTAACGCGTTTTCTGTGGTAACTATTAGTGGCCTCAGGCGGCATTGCAGGGGATGGTTTTCTAACATGCGATTTTCTCTGTAAGTAGCGATATCTACATACTGAACTCTTTTTTGCCTAAAGATGAGAAAATACTGCCCCTTCAAAATCGTTTGTGTTGTGTCCGTCTGTTTTTAGTCTTCACAATATTTACATGTACGAGGTGTGTTCAAAAAGTAAGGTACACTTGCCCCTAACATATGTTCACTATTTCAGCCAGTTTGAATGTTTACCTTTTTTTGTAAGACAGATGAATAAATAAATAAATACTTTTTGATAAAACTTGAAAGTCCCCTTATTTTTTTGATTACACCTCGTATATACCGTATAAAATACAAAGGAACGTGCATTGGTCGCAAAAGAAATTCGGCGAAATTCCAAAACCGAGTGTTTGGCAAAAAACCTCAGAACCGATTAACTCGACACTACGAGACTTTCGCGACAGCTTTTGAACGCCATTTTTGGAATAGCCGAAAAAACGACAGAAATAGGCAAGGCGGGCGCGGGATTCGCGACTAATGGAAAAACTATGTTAATTAAAACTGGGGCTCCGTCAAATTGCTGAAACGAAGTCATGCGTAAACTATCAGCACATTTTACCTTGAAGTGACTACAACAATAGATATTTTAATGTCAGGAAGTGTCGCGAAGTTTAAAAAATAACAACGTCTCAGTGGCCGTACGCGAGGCTGAACAGTAAATTCAGTAAAATAAATCTAATCGCTTAAATCGACATTGATGACTTTATTTGGGTCATCTTATCTGGTTGCGCAATTTTTAGGAGACTTTTTTAAGTCCCTTCGAAATCCACTTAAAGCATACCAAATAATCTTAAAATTCATTAGGAAAAAATCATCCATTAACTCTAAAAACAGCTAAGGGGTTTCACATTCAAACAAAGCTTTTTAAGACTTTTCGCAATATTTCCCCCAAATTTTATAGTGTAATATTAATTTTTACATACATTTACATAAATTAGGGCAAAAAATGTTGTGATATTCACAGTTATTTATTGGTGTATTATAGCTGTTTATTTTTATAAAATTCGTGTTTAAACTATCAGCACATTTTACCTTGAAGTGACTACAACAATAGATATTTTAATGTCAGGAAGTGTCGCGAAGTTTAAAAAATAACAACGTCTCAGTGGCCGTACGCGAGGCTGAACAGTAAATTCAGTAAAATAAATCTAATCGCTTAAATCGACATTGATGACTTTATTTGGGTCATCTTATCTGGTTGCGCAATAACAACATCGAAGCACAGAAACAAGAACTTCGACCTATCGCACTTGAAGTGGCTTTATCGCTTAGTTTTTTTTTTACTATAGGGCGTTCCTTAACATAAATCAAAGGTGAAAAAATTTAATAACTTTGAATTAGGTATGAATATGTTGAATTAATTGATATTGATGTTGATAACCACGAGGAGTGTAATGTTCATTAAAAACTCGGACATATAATTTGAAATGGTGTAAGCAGATGTGGATAGACGTCTAAAAGTCAAACATTTTAAAATGCCAAGAAAAATCACAACAGCCTGTTTCAAACTGCTTAAACAATAGAAAAACTACTCATAAAACTTTTTTATGCTCAAAACTTACGTTTTTAAGTCGCAGAAATTCATGTTCTCTGGTATTGAACCACTGTTGTCTTTACAGAGAAAAACATGAGAAATTTTCGACATCCCGTATCTTTTTAACCAATAATATTTGTCACTACATTTAAAGACAAATCCATTTTAGTTTATATGGGTATGTTATTGGGGGTTTCAATAGAAAAAATAGATAATACTTGAAAATTGGCACCAATGCCCTTTTTTTTCTCATCGCTCGATTGATTTGCCCCGGTTTTCGCTCCCTGGCCCGCGAAATCCAACTCACCATTTAAATTTCCAAGCGCGTTATTTCCGTTCGATAAACTGGCCTCGGGACTAGAAGGTTCGACCCCGAAGGTTTCGGGAATTTTCGGATCGGATTTTCTGGAATACTCCGGGAGACGTCTCCGATCCCTTTTCCACTTGTTCGTTTGTTTGTGAAGGTTCTTCGAAGCTTCCTCTGAAAAATCGTATTCACATATACGGATGTGGATCATAAACAATGGCAAATCTCGAAACTATAATATTATGTTTGAGCTCAACATTCTTTAAACAAATGTTGCTGGTTTCCAAGATACAGGGAGTTTAAAGTTTAATTTTTTTTAAAAATTGGCAGTCTTGATCAAATTCTTTTTATTGACAAGGCTACATTTACGAGACGAGGAATCTTTAATTGGAAAAATATTTAATATATTAAAAATTTAAATATAGTAGGTAGTGGAAGTGAATTCGTTTGGACACCAATGGATCCAGACTTAAACCCTCTGGATTTCTCAATATGGTCATACATGAAGGATTTGGTATACGCTGAACTGCTAATTTTTTGAAAATTCGCGAATTCCCTTACAAATAATAGAGAAGCTTTGTTGGATATTAAAAGACGTTTAGGAAAGTGCATTTTAAAATGTATTGAGGTAGATGGTGGGCAATTCCAACTTTTTTTTTATTACTATCAACAAAATTGTCATTGTTTAATATTGGTTTTTTATTGCTTCCCATGCCTTTTCATCCTTTAAGTATATTTGTAAAAAAAACAGAAAAAATACTTTGGACTTTTTAAATGCAAATAAGTCAGACTGGACACAGCTAGACCGCCTAAGTAAGAAAAATTCTTTCTTTTAGAATGTCATTAGGTTTCAACTCAGAAGATAAAAATGATGTCCTGTATATCTGAAATAGTTTGTTGTCTAGTATAATATAAATTAACGATAATATAGGTTTTGGTTATATTAGAGCATATTATTATTACTGGTTAAGGCCTATATAGATTTTTTCAAAGCGTTGGTATTCCTTAAGATTCGCCGATTTCAAAAACTTAAAAATATGTCGAAAAAAAAAAGCAAACAAAGCACAGGAAAACATGGCACACAATTTGTACACCAGTTTTTTTTTCTAAATAATGTACACGATGCGTATAATATCTTTCAATAATCGATTAGAAACGACGTTTAAAAATTCCTGTAAATCAAGAAAGACTGTCGAGTTTTTAATTACTCAGAACTATATGTTTTAGGGACCTTAAAAGATATCAATTTCAAGTGAAGTAAAAATAATTAGAATCTTGCGAGCTTCAAAATTTATTTTAACCATAAGCATTGATAAGATAACATCTGAAATTGTTTAAGGTGTATGTATAATTCAAAAAATCTTTAACAAATGCATATTTATGTCGAAATTATTGTTTTCGGCTATTATAGTATTAATATTCAAATTTGGTACCCACTATAAGTACAGGAATATCTATGAATGCCCCGTGCTGATTGAATAAAGAAATCTATACACCGGAAACCCTTAAAAACGACTTTAAGCCCTTCCGGTAACGGGTTTTAAGTATTCTATTAAAAAATGTATACTCATCGACGTTGCCGATTTAAATGTCACAAACCCACAATTTTCCAGAGACGAAATAGTGATATTTATACAACAATTGAGAGCACAGTTCCCTTTTTGTTAAGCAGAATTAGAAGAATGACTGAACACTTAGAAACCCATTATATAAGAAAACACCAAACTATCATGTAGATATAAAAGACAAAATACGATGAGCCTACACAAATGTACAGAATAACGAAATTTACATTTTTCCAACGAACTTTTTTTTGTTTAACATTCAACGCCTTATATGGTTATATGCACGCCACAAAGTGCAACCACCGGTTCTGCCCTATAATATAATATAATTAGTAGTGCTGAAACGCTTTCTAAACAATTATCTCTAATTTAGTCCCTATATATTTAAATAAATTAACATGCAACTGAAGAACAGTGCAAAAAGATTCTCCAAGTCATTATTATTGAGTTGTTAACAAAATTTAAGTCGCCCAAACCGTTGAACTATAATTTTTCTAAAACGTAAGACAAAACAGCGGAATTTTTCTTATCTTTACTAAAAAAAATTATATCCTAAGTGTCGGCAAATTTTGGCAATTAAAGTATTGATAGGGAACCGGTGAAAAAAAAATGAAAAAATTATCAACCTAACAATACAAAGTAAATAATAGTCGATTGCCACAGTTCATTTTGATAAAGCGGAGTATATTTGAAAAAATATATCAATATTTGAAATGATTTACATGTAAAATATATTATCGAGAAGGTAAAATCAAAAATATAACACTACCACCACGACCTATCCTACCGAATGAAAAAAATATAGCTAAATTGTCGGAAAACATTAATTAAATAGTTATATATTAACCTTTGGAACGTTTGTCAAAAATGGCGTATTTTTTTTCTGTTGCCATGAAATTCCATCCTACTTTCCTTTGCTCGATGATAGTTTATAATTGCTGGTTATTAAAAAGTATTCTCTGTGCGACAGGACGAATTCGATTAAACCGATTGACAGAATAATTAGACTAAGATACTAATAACTAACTAATAAAACAGACAACTTAATTGCATGTAGGTTACATATTTTACACCGTAATTTACAAGAACAATTATTCTACCTTTATCGACCCACGGTTGCCAAAATTTTATCCCATCGTTTGATGTTAGCGTACGTTGGAACGCGTCATCGGCGCGCATCTTGAACGAAATTCTCAGCAGCTCTTCGACAAAACAAGATAGTTCCATAACTTGGTATAAAAACGTTCGCGGCTCTGAAGCTCTTTACTGCACGCGCATACCCGTACAAAAGGTGCACAAATTGCCGGTAAATCACCAAATAAGCACTTAACACGTTTTATTGTTGACACTCGGAATATATAGTCACTGAATGGGCGGTTGTAACTTGACTGGAAATAGTAAGCCGACTCCATTCATAAGATCGAAAGCAGGTAGACGGGCCACAGGTATACATAATTAGTTTTTTTCCACGCATAGGACGGGCTCGATCCTAAATCGGATATAAGTAAGGTGGAAAATTGCTCGGCGAGCCGTTTTTGACCGGTTCCCGTGATGGTCCTTTTTGTTTTTAGACCGCGGCAGGGCGTATATACCCATGGGCGCCCCTATAAACCGAACCAATTACCTATATAGATTTTTAAAACAATTAACGATTTGAATACGAATTTGAAAAATAAAGCGCAATCAGCAAATCGTGACGGCAATGTTAGCGAACAATTTTATCATCCACCATCATTTTTATCATTATTCAAATATCTCTAGGAATACGATTGCTTTGAAGTTTTGGTTTACTTAATAGTCACCACCGGAAAAACGTATTTTTTATATACTATGCTAGTAGGCTTTGATTAGTTAGTAGTTTGGTTAGGTGAGATTCTGGCTGTAGTGATCTAGACTTTAGTTTATATATTTTAGAAATTGCCGCCTCTGTATTCATCTTGACTTTTATGAGACACTCATATCATATCAAAATATCATATCATTTATTTGAAAGACTAAACTAAAACAACTTATTAACTCTAGGTTTCAGGTAATATTTTTAGAAGTTGCTGGCTCTGTATTCATCTCGACTTTTATAAAACAATCATATCATATCAAAATATTATAACATTTATTTGAAAGACTAAACTAAAACTGAAGGTATTAACTCCAGGTTTAAGATGATACTTTTAGAAATTCCTGCCTCTGTATTCGTTTCGACTTTTATAAAACAATTATATCATATTAAAATATCATTACATGTATTTGAAAGACTAAACTAAAGCTCAAGGTATTAACGCTAAGTTTCAGATTATACTTTTAGAAATTGCTGCCTCTATATTCGTCTCGACTTTTATAAAACAATCATATCACATCAAAATATCATAAAATTTATTTGAAATTCTAAACTAAAACTCCAGATATTAACTCTATTCTTTAGTTTATATTTTCTAGAAATTGCTGCCTCTGTATTCTTCTCGACTTTTATAAAACACTCTTATCATATCAAAATATTATAACATTTATTTCAAAGACTAAACTAAAACTCAAGGTATTAACTCTAGGTTTCAGGTTATATTTTTAGAAATTGCTGGCTCTGTATTCATCTCGACTTTTATAAAACAATCATATCATATCAAAATATCACAACATTTATTTGAAAAACTAAAAATAAACTCCAGGTATTAACTATATTCCTTAGTTTATATTTTTTTATAAATTGCTGCCTCTGTATTCTTCTCGACTTTTATAAAACACTCATATCATATCAAACTATCGTAATATTTATTTGAAAAACCAAACTAAAACTCCGGGTATTAACTCTATTCTTTACTTTATATATTTTTAGAAATTGCTGCCTCTACATTCTTCTCGACTTTTATAAAACACTCATATCATATCAAACTATTATAACATTTATTTGAAAAACTAAACTAAAACTCCAGGTATAACTCTATTCATGAGTTTATATTTTTTTGGAAATTGCTGCCTTGGTATTCGTCTCGACATTTATAAAACAATCAGATCATATCAAAATATCATAACATTTATTTGAAATACTAAACTAAAACTCAAGGTGTTAACTCTAAGTTTCAGGTTATATTTTTAGAAATTCTTGACGTTTATAAAATAACCAAATCATATTAAAATATAATGACATTTATTTACGACTAAACTAAAACTCAAAGTATTAACTCTAGGTCTTAGTTTATAAAACAATCATATCATATCAAACTATCATAACATTTATTTGAAAGTCCAAACTATTCAACGTATTAGCAGTTAAAATCACCTGCTATTACAGAACGCATTTTTTTTCGGTATAACGGTTCAAAATATATTTGTTCAAAATTCAAACCTTTTATTTTCTCGAAGAAGACTCGAGCACAATATAACTGTTTTGGAAAGGTAATTTTTCAGTTCTTTTCAATGATTCAAAAAATACATGCAGTTTTTATACAATCGATGAGGAGATTTTTGCCTTTTGTTTTTTTTTTTTATGAAAATGTAATCGCAGAAAGGAGAATTTCGTTTAAAATTGCTCAATTCGGCCCGCCGTATGCATTTATTAACAAGCATTTTATCAAAACATTAGACTACAGTAATTTAAAAATAATCATAAAGAAGCTG